GGAAAAAGCACTTTATGGACTTCAACAAGCACTAAGAGCTGGGCATGATAAGCAGGGTTGTCAATGGATCGGATATGGACTGGATCTACCCATATCCGATCCGATCTGATAAGAGTGATTCACAGATCCGATCCGATAATCCGATGGATATTTGATTGTTAAATCTATATCCGATTTGCTATATTATCGGAACTATATCCGATCCGATCCGATAAGAATAATTCTCCGATCCGATCCGATCCGAAAATCCGACGTATATTTGATTGTTAATTCCATATCCGATTTGCTATATTATCGGATATCCGATCCGAAATATTTTACACATTCGTTTTTATTGCAATATAAGGAAATAATCATATTAACGTGTTGGTAATTGACTAATTGGCATGTTTAAGAACAATCCACAAGATAATACTAAGTTAAAACGAACCAAAATATGGATATTGCAATAAATACATATCCAACAAATGTTCTAGAGAGAAGTAAGCAACAAAATTTCAAAACTAGGCCCCTGTTTGAATCACATTATTGCTCCAAGAATGCATTTTTTTGGTTGATGTGATAGGGAATATGTGCTTGAAAAAGAAGGAAAAGTTATTGATGTGATATAAAATATTATTTTATTGAAGAAGATGTGGTTGGAAATGAGTAGAAGAATGAGAATAAAAAAAATAATGTGGCTCAAACAGGGGCTAGGAAAACAAAAAAAATGTCAAGTGCAACTTTAGAAGTTTTGGCTCTCCATATCATGTCACCCACCATTCCACCGCACCTACAAAATAGACGTTTAAGAATAAAGGGTGTACCAAATAGATATCATTTCAAGAAATTAAGAACATTTCAATCTTTAAGGAACATTATTTTTGGTTTTGTCGGGCCTTATTTGTAGCATTTATGTCAAGTTCTACAAGGACGTTACAAATATTACTTGTAAGGAATAAATAATAATATATATCTACTCGAAAAAAAATATAACCAAACTCAATAATCAGCATACTTACTCTTCTTTTTCGAGGGAAGCCAATATTGTATAGTCACCAAAGCTTCTACGGTTTCCGGAAGCAATGAAGCACGAAAATCATCAATTACTCTTCCTCCCACACTAAATGCAGTCTCAGACGCAACAGCAATTGCTGGAACAGCTAATATGTCACGAGCAATTTTTCAAGAGTAGGGAATTTAGCACTATTAACCTTCCAACAATTCAAAATTTTAAAATTTTCAGTTCTTGAAAATAATGACTCCTCCAAGTACTTCTCTAACTCTAACTTTTTAAAAGAAAATGACAAATTAGAAGCTCGAGATTGTGTTGACCAAGAATCAAACTCACTCAATTTGTCCTCTAGAAAAGCCCCCATTCCATGATCACTACTAGAACCAAGTTCTTGACTTACTTCCACTTGAGATTTAGATGAACTATCATCATACTCATTGAAAATGTCAAATATTGCCTTACGAACTCTTTCAACATATGTATGCGCACCAACACCATAGAGCTTAACATAATAATATTCAACCAAATCCATTTTAAATCTTGGATCAAAAAAACAGTAACTGCTAATACCAAACAACATTCCTCCCAATATTTAACAAACTTCAATTTCATAGGGCCAACCATCATACACAAAAAGCTATGCTCACTACTTTCCCACTTAGATAAATGTAGTTGAATATTACAAACATCAGGAAAAAACACATTTGATGTGGGAAAATGAGAACTAGAAAAATGATTTGTTGCATCATAAAATATTCGCAAGCAATCACATTAACTTTAGCAATTTTTCATTCTTCATCACTTGGATAGAGTTTATAATTACGATCTGTTTGTGCTAAGCGCCAAAGCACCTCTTTCATCTATATTGCACTTTCAATCATTTGAAAAATAGAATTCCACCTAGTAGAAAATCCATCTTCACCTTATTCTTATCTTTCAACTTAAGTTGATTTTTTGCATGAGTAAATTTCTATGTTGCATATGGAGACTTATTCAAATACTTCACAGTTTCTCTAACCTTATGAATAAACTCTCCAATTACTCTTAACCCATCTTGCACAATCAAATTAAGAATATGAGCACTACAACGCACATTAAATAACTCACCTTCCAAATGTATCGCAGACTTGTCACAAAGCCAACTTTTCAAGCTTCTTACCATCGCATCATTAACACTAGCATTGTCAACCACCATGGCGAACAATTTTTTCTCCAAATTCCATTCCAAAATCATATCTGTGATGTATCTGAAAAGAGTTTCTGCATCATGAGGATATTCAATACATCTATAACCAATTATTTTTTTGTTCAATTCCCAATCATCATCAATAAAATGAGATGTCAAGCATATATAACCAATATCTTGATGATCAGATGTCCAAAGATCAGTAGTTAAAGTGATTCTACCTGGAAGTTTCTCCAAGTGGTTGTATAACTTCTCCTTCTCACTTTTGTAAACTTCAAATACATCAGACCTCACTGTATTTCTTGACACAAGCTTAAACATTGGTTGCAAACCATTACAAAAGATCTCAAAATATTCATGTTCAGCCATATTAAAAGGATAATTATGCATGATAACCATCTTAGCAAAATCCATCCTACTTTTCAATTGGTCAAACTTATGATTTTTAACTATGGCAGCAGCATCTGATGAATTTTTGGAAATGGATAGCATTTGTTGACCAATGTCCCTACTATCTTTCCCATTACACATTTTCAAGTGATTCTTTAAGTGATTAGTTCCTTTAACACTCTCTCCTACAAATTCTTTATGATAATGCGTGCACTGTGCAATTTCATTTCCTTTTGGCCTTTTACATTTTACAGAATCATTCCATACCTTCGATGTCAATCTTCGACTCTTATGATAAGGTGGAGGTGAATCTTCAACTTGTATAACATTCTAAGCATCATCTTTTGTCTCCACCTCATTGTCGGCCATTGTATGTACCTGAAAAGTCCAAAAATCAAAATTAACAGCATGTGATAATCTATAACAAGGGTAAATTTTACAAACGCAAATATTTATGTGCAGAGGAAAAAAAAACTATTTTTGGAGAATTCCTAAAATTACGATCCAGACCAAAATTTACCAAAAGTCAGAAGCTGTCATATCTTGAAATCAAGACCCATGTGTGCAAATCAAGTAAATGAAAGAACTCACATTTTCATTTTGACAAAGAGCAAATAAAATGACAGAGATCACAAAACCCAGGCCTAAAAGTCAATGAACAAGAAGAAAAAAAAATCTTTCTGTTTAATGTGTTTACGAGAAAAAAATTTGGTGCAGAATATATATTTGTTAAATATTATGACTGACTGAGAAAAGGAAAGGGAAAAAGTGTGAAATTGAAAACACACACTTCAGCTTCCTCCTTTCTGCTCTTGTATCAATTGTTTTCTACTTCTTCAACAGTTCAAATGGTAACTTTAACCATAAAACAAAAAAGAACCACGTAATAAGCACGAAACTGCAAAAACATTAACTTGCTAAAATCACCAGAAAAAACGTAGGCCAGAGAGGTGACTGTTACTGCAAAATGCAAATGAGATGGTGAAAAATCAAAAGTTGAAACTCTAGGAAGCATGGAAGTAGGTATTAGATTTGGAGGAGAAAAGAAGTTTTGAGAATCTTTTTTAATTCTTCAAATGTCTGTTTGTATGTCGGCAGCCTGGGGTTAACATTAACTTTAATGTGTTTGAACTGGTAGCTTGGGATTAACATGTTTAGAAGGTTTTTCTCAATTTTCAAAGTGTCTCTTTGTATTCTTTTTTTTTTTTTAATAAATCATTTAGCAGTTAAAAAAAGTAAAAAAATAAAATAAAAAGCATGCTTTTATAAAATATATTATATCATCATAAAAAAATCGAATCGGATTTTTATCGGATCGGATTGACCTATATCCATATTTGATCCATTTAGTTAACGGATTATCGGCTTCGAATTTTAATCAGGTTATCGGATTGACACTCTAAATCCATCTCTCATTAATTTCGTCGGATTCAGATCAAAATCCGATCCATTGACAGCCCTAATGATAAGTTGAAAGAGACTTTGTTGGAGTGGAATTTCAGACAATCCAAGACAGATAACTTAATGTTTTTCTCAATGGATGGAAGAAATGTGGTGTTTGTACTGATTTATGTAGATGATATATTAGTAACAGGAAACGATAGCCAACAACTGCAGATATTTATTGATAAACTAAATGCGTGTTTTGCTATTAAAGATATGGGAAACCTCGGTTAATTCTTAGGTATTGAGGTCTATAGAGACACAACATGACAGTATCTAACTCAAACAAAGTATATAGGTGATTTGCTGAAGAAATTTGATTATGAAAACTTGAAACCAAGCTTGACACCTATGGCCATGGTTTAAAAAGGCGTCCATGAGGCGCCTCTATGATGCCTCAAGGTGGTTCTTTGAGGCAAAAAAAAATAAAAATGAGACTTACGCCTCATAGAGCATGAGGCGTGCGGCTCATTTAAAATGGTCCATTTAAAATTTGATTTTTCCACCAAAAAGGGCCCTAGTTAAAAAATAAAAGGGTCCATTTAAAAAGGCATTTGAGCCCAAACAAAACAATAAAATACCTAAAAAGCTAAACGGCGTGTATGTTTTTCCTCTTTTCTTCTTCTAATTTATATTCTTTTCTTTTTCTTTTTCATCAGTTCATCATGTATGTATCATCCTCTCTTTTTTTTCTTGTGATTTTAATTATGATTATTGGAAAAAAAAATTGTGAACAGTGACACGCCCGTCACTGTTCAATGAACAGTAACGCAACATCGAGTTAACAAAATTTACATTTATAAATTGTCATCAAATTGGATTTTGAGTTTTAGATGAAAAACATATACTATTAGGGATTATGTAAAAAATTATTTTCAAGCCACAATAACACACATTAATCTCATCAAGCCTTTGATATTGTAAATTCAAAAAAGTTCTACAGTTAAACTACTTAACATTCTATGATTGAATTTCTTGTATTATAGGATGGGAAAGAACCAACGAACGGATCCAGCTTGGAAGTATGGAAAAGAAATTGAAAAGACGGGAGGTGACAAAAAGTCATACGTTTACATCGAGTGTATGTTTTGCAAGCGGATGAAGGAACACTTAGCATGTACTCACAAGAGTGTAGCTCCATGCCTTGGAGTTCCTATGGATGTTAAACAAGAGATTACGGAGTATATGAATGTTGGAAACATGAAAAGACACTTATCACAACAACAACTTGAAGATATGGTCGAGCTTGGTTCTTATTATGAGAAGAATGATAAAGAAAAAGATTCTATGAGAGGCATTAGAGTACCAATGGATAGGTTTGTTCAAACATTGGTGGTGATGATGAGACACATCCAAAGATGAGTGCAGCTAAGATGAAAGAGATGCGAAAAAAGTCTGTTTAGATGTCGACGGATTCTTCTTTGAAAATGCAATACCTTTCAATACGGTTGAATCTCCTTCGTTTATCAGCATGTGTCGGGTTCTTGGTTCATATGGTAGAGGTTTTCAACCTCCTACAATGTACGAACTCCATACATGAATTCTTAAAGAGGAAGAGGAATTGACGTGGAAAATAGTTGACGATGTAAAGGCGACATTGATTACAATTGGTGTTTCTATATTATCTGACGGGTGGTCTGACATGAGAAATAGAAGTTTGATCAATTTTCTTGTGAATAATCCACATGGAACGGTGTTTCTGAAATCTATTGATGCTTCTGATGCAATTAAAGATGCGGATCTCATGTTCAAATTATTAGACAGGGTTCAAGAAGTTGATGAAGAAAATGTTGTTCAAGTTGTGACCGATAATGCAAGAGCATACAAAGCTGCTGGGAGGAAATTGATGGAAAGACATAAGCATTTATATTGGACTCCTTGTGCTGCACATTGCATTGACTTAATACTTGAAAAACTTGGGGAGTTTCCGCAACACAAACATATTGATAAAGGCTAAAAAGGTCAGTAATTTTGTTTATAATCATCAATGGATGTTGGTATTAATGAGAAAAATTGCAAAGAATGATATAGTTCGACCGAGTGCTATGAGATTTGCTACAGCCTACTTGACTTTACAAGGATCTATGACTTAAGAAACTCACTACGAGCTATGTTCACTTCGAAGGAGTGGATAAATTCTCCTTGGGCTAGGAAAGCAGAAGGGAAACAGGTTAGGGAAATCATTTTGAAGGATAAATTTTTTTGGCCAAGTGTTGCATATGCTTTGAAGACCACAAATCCCCTAGTTGGTGTTTTAAAACTTGTTGATTCTGAACAAATGCCGGCAATGAGATTTATTTATGGAGCCATGGATAATGCAAAGGAACAAATAGTGAAAAATTTGGGTGAAGATGAAGCTGCATACAAGGAAATTTGGAATATCATAGATGAGAAGTGGGAGTTTCAATTGCATCGAAACCTACATGCTTCTACTTATTATTTGAATCCTCGTTCTCAATATGCTAATAATTTTTCTCGACATTCTGAAGTTATGGCGGGTTTGTATAATTGTAATATTGCATGGTGAGAGTCATTTCCGATCCAACTGAAAGGGAGAGAACAGATCTCCAGTTAGACCAATTTGTTGAAAAATGAAATTTCTTTGGTCTCGAACAAGCAAAATCAACTTTCACTAAACGGTCTCCTGGTATGTATTAAATTATTAATATATACATTTTTATACATGATGTACACAATTTGAATTTTATTTACAATATATTCATTTATTTTTTTAGTTTAATTAGCCTATGCTTAATAGTTGCATACTTGCATATAACATTTTTTTCTTAATTTTGATCCAGATGTTTGGTGGACTCAATTTAGCATTGGTACTCCAGAACTAACTAAGTTTGCAATGAGAGTTTTAAGTCTTACTTGCTCATCTTCTGCATGTGAGCGCAATTGGAGTACATTTAATTTAGTGCATACTAAGAAAAGGAATCGTTTGACAACAAAGAGATTGCATACATTGGTTTACATCAATTATAACAAGAAGCTCAAAGATCGACATAGGCGATTGAAGTCACTTAAAGATGGTGAAGATCCTTTGATTTTAAAGGAAGTTATATCCGATGATGAATGGATTGCAGATCACAATATTGAAGCTCCATCAAACACATGCGATGTGAATGATGACGTCTCGAGTCTAAATTTTTCACAATCAAAGGGGATTGAAAGTTCTACGTGTACACAAAGTCAATCTATTAGGAAAAGAACTTTTTCACGAAAAGGTATTCATACTTTTATAATTCAAATTTCTTTTTATTTATGAAATTATATTAACATATTGCTTTTTATTGAATTTACAGGGAAGGAAAGGGTCACATTGCAATTGGTGGATAAGGAAGATGATTTTGTAGAAATTGAAAGTAGCGAAGAGGAAGATGATGGGGAAATTAGATATTATGATTCCATTAACGATACTAGTAATAGTGATGATAGTGCAGACTATTAACTTTTTTTTAGTTTAAGCTGCTTCTTTTTTTCCATTGCAAATGGAGCGATTTCTAACTTCTGTAATACTTTTTATTTTGCTAAATATCTTCTTTCTTTAGGTTGACTATATCTCAATATGCTAATAGTTATATATCATATTTACTATATGCTCCAATTTTGATTTTTTTGTATTATNCTTATTTACTATATGCTCCAATTTTAATTTTTTTTGTATTATTTTATAAGTCTTTTACTTAGATTTTTTATTTTTTGTGAGATTTACGCATCAATCCACCTCGAGCCTCACGCCTCGCCTCATAAATAAAAACCGCATCAGTACTTAGTTTCGCCTTTTAAAACCTTGTCTATGGCAATAGGTAAGTTGATATCTAAGGATGCAGGACAAGTCATGAGTGATCCTACTCTCTACAGGAGCGTAGTTTGTTCTTCAATATCTTACACACACAAGACCTGATATTGCCTATTCTGTAAATAAAATGAGTAAATTTTTTCGAATATGTTCATTGGAAGGTTGTCAAGAGAATTTTTAGATACCTAAAGGGTACACAAAAACATGGTTTGGTTATTCAGAGGAATGACAACCTAGTTATTATAGCTAGGGGCGGACGAACGGTAGGTCACAGTGGGATATGTGACCCACCAATTTTTCCAAATTTTGATTTTTTTTAGATAATAAAATACCACAAACAACCAAAATTGTTGAGAGCCCAATCCGCCACAAATTCACCCAATTCTGACTCCAGATTTCCCATTATGTGAGACCGTGCCGTGTCGTTCACTTCTTCATCTCCGTCCACCATCCGCAAGAGCTTGCAACTCTGCCGCCGCATTCTACTTCCAAAGGTAAAACCCTTAACTTCCAATTCTTCAAATATTCTATCAAATTGATGTGTGGTTGCTGTTAGGCAATTGTATTTGTTGTGTTGTCTGATTGTTTGATTATGGCAAAATTTAAATTTTTTGTTGAATTTTGAATATTGAAATTGAGTTGAAGAAGTTGGCACCTAATTTTTCTTCCTTTCTTTTTCTCCTTTTCTTTCTCCCTTTTTCTCCCTTTTTTCTACTTTCCTGCCCTTTTTCTCCTCTATGAAATTGATGTTGGAGATAAAAATGATGATGGAATGTTAGGAATGAAAGGGATGAACTTGATGATGGAGATGTTCAGATTGAAACTTATGTATAATGTTAAGGGTGAAAGGTTTGAACTTGATGTTGCACAACTTTCTTCAGATTTGGGATTGAGAATTACGATACATAATTATGATGCTAATGTTTGATTGTGTATATTTAGAATGATATATTCGATGGTATTGAAAATGATGTAATTATGAAACGTTATCAAAGTACCGCATAGAGAACAAAAGTAATAAGATATCGAATACATTAATTTTTTTGTAACCATTTTATATGTTTCATTGTGCTCCACTAATTTCAAATATCTGCATCTGCCACTGATTATAGCATTTGCATATTCAGATTGGGCATCATACCCAGATGATAGAAGATCTAAAGCAGGCTACTATGTGTACATTGGAGATAATTTGGTGTCTTGGTGTTCCAAGAAACAACATGTTGTTGCAAGATCTAGCATAGATGCTGAGTATGGAGTACTTGCTGACACTACATCAGAAATAGCTTGGATTTAGTCCCTAATGAAATAACTAAGTATACCTCATAATCAAATTCCTAAAATCTGGTGTGACAATCTAAGTGCAAGTGCATTAGCGTCAAATCCAGTGTATAATGCCTGTACCAAACACATAGAACTGGATGTCCATTTTGTGAGAGACGAAGATTTGAAGAAAGAGCTAGAAGTGCATTTCGTTCCATCCTCAAATCAAACTCCAGAGATACCGACAAAACCTCTCTCTCACTTAAGATTCATATTCCTCATAGACAAGCTTGGAATGGTAGAGACACACTTCACCTTGAGAAAGGGTGTTATGATTAATCAACAACCTGAATATTATTGCACTAAAGGTTGTTAATATCACTAAAAATATTGACATTACATGACAATGTATTTCCTCAATTTAATGGATATGTATATACAGTTAAACACCTGTCACTAGTAGATAAGAAATACAAGAATATTCTCTTTGTATATAAAATGTACGTATTGCAATTCAGTGTATAAATAGAGAAGGCAAGAGAGAAGCTAATTGACCTGAGAAATTTTCAAACGGGCTGAGTTCGACAGTATTTCTTTTTCTACATGATCCCGACAAACAAATGTCGTGGCTTCCATATTACGCTTTCGGTAGGAGCTAGAAAGTGTTATAACAAGCTTGCACAAGGCAACGTCGACAATTGGCCTGACTTGAAAAGCCAATTGATCCATATGTTCCCCGCGGGAACTCTCGGCTCGATCCCGACTTGGAGAATTCATGACATGAGGCAAGGCCCTAGTGAGAATTGGCAGAGCTATCTAATCCATTTCACTTTGAGGTATGCAGACAATGAAAATTCGACGGAACTTAGCAATTTTAATTTCAGACAAGTAGCTTGGAAGGCAAGTTTTCTTTCTATGCAAGACAACGTATTCTTGGTGGGCAAGAAAGGGAGTTTTCTTGGGGTGCAAGTTTCTTTGATCAACAAGAAAGTCAAAACTGAAAAAATGTACCAGTTATTTTTGTCGCGTGTTCGCCACACGGAAATGGATACAACATAAAGTGAACCGTGTTTATGTTAGACTTGTAATTTTAACAGCTTTAAATTTGCCCAATTTGAATCCACACGACTTGGCCCGAGTTTATGAAGGGGCTTGCAGAGATGTTAGATGGGCTTACATTTAGGTGGCTCGCCTATTGGTTCATCGTGACCCGTACCACAAGCCGGGCCTCGTGGCCTTTTTGAAAAATAATTAGTCTATGCATTTGTTTTTTTCTTTCATAAATTGGAAAATG